AAATTAATGTTTCAGGCACAGGAGTACAATAACTACATTAAAAAAAATAATAAATAAATAAAAGAAGAGGAAAAAGAAGAAAAGAAGTAGGAGAAATAGAAATGTGTCTATAAACTCAGTTACTGAGCACACGTGTACACGAGGTTGTCTCAATGACCAAACACTGCTATAAAGGTGCATCAATCAAATTATGTGGCATTCACCAAGACTAACATCATTGCTGCATCTTTAGACCCTCTTCTAAACTAAAATCTTCCTTATAAATCGAACGCTTCGATTCGGGTCAAAAAAGCTCGGAATAAAAAATTATCATTTTGCTAGGAACTATTTTTTTAATTAGTGGTTTGTTGTTTGGTTTTGTTTTTTTTTTTTGCTAATCAAGCCCCGTTCCCCCCGGGGGCAGCAGCCAGTGAAGCCGGGCGCTGGTGTGAAGGTTGTTGCGGGGGGTTTTGCCCTACCTTGATGGCGGTGGAGGCGATCTGGATGTGGTGCAGGCGGCGCAGGGTGCTGTCCCTGTCGATGAAGTAGGAGGCTGCCAGCTGGTGCAGCGTCTCCAGCGTCACCACCGAGCTGTTGGTGCCCGGGTCGCTCCCTTCCGACCTCTTGCTCAGCTTCCTTTTGTCCACAAAAATCGTGAGTGACTCCTCTCCTGGGCAGGGAGACAAGGAAACCCCCAAGCAGTCATCAGCAACACCCAGCAGCACGGAGATAACCCACAGAATCACATAAAAAAATATGTTTATTTCCAAGGTTTAATACATCCCTTTTACAGTGTTTAATGCTGGTGTAAAAGAAAATGAAACCAGTGTAATACACAAGACTCTGTTTTTTTGTTTCTCTCTTTCTTTCTTTCTTTCTTTTGTATCATAGCTGATATCAGAAGAAAGGTTACAACTGGTTATAAGCAACCCTGTGCTTTCTAATGAATTCAGCAATGCTAAAATGCCTGAAATGTGATAGAACACTTGTCTTAAACCAGATTTATATGGCTAAAAAGTATGGGATCTTTGGAAAGTCCGTGCTTTTCCAAAAGCAAATAGAAGATCCAGCATCTCCTGTGGTGGATTTTTCACTTCCTCTCTCTTTATAGAGATATGGATCAATACTGTTGAAGTCAGAAATTTTAATTTCTGTAGGATTATTGAAAACCAAAAATCTGACTCGCTTAACTGAATTAGTTCTGAGGAACCATTCCAGATTAGACCATCTAATACCGACAGATTTTCCACATTTTTTGTCTAGTTCATGAATACTTTTACCTGTGTTCCAGGCTAAGCAAGCATTCATTCATTTAGTAAAGGGTTTAGGCAAAACTCCTTACTTCAGGAAAAAAATTAGAAAAGTAATTTATTGACTCAGGATTTCCTTCTGTGCAATTTATGTCCAAAGTCACTACAAAACCACTTTTCTCGCTTTTTGAGCCAGTGTTTGGTAACTTGCATTCTTCAAAACTTAGCCCAGGAATGGATTATGCTGTCATTACAATGTCATTATATCTGTATTTTAGGTGCTGAGCAACTCCACTGAATGCCATTTCCTTGTTCCTGGAAAGGAAGTTACCCTGACAGGGTCTGACTTGCCACTTGTGCTCGTTTCACTGCTCACCCATCTGCCACAGTGGCACTGTGCCCATGCAGGGGATGGGATGCCAACTTCACATGAGTTTATGTGCCAAAAAGTAATAGCTGGAGAGGGATAAAATGCAGGATGAAAACATGACATCATCTTTAGAGGGAGATAATCCTGGTGGTGAGCAGTGCTGAGTGCAGAACGCTCCTGCCTCCGTGCAGGGGAGCACATCTGTCAGCAAAGTCTGGCTCACAGAGCTCCTTTGTCTTTAATTAACATGAGCACACTCCTCTTTCCCCAATGTACCTTCCGTGCTTCCCAACCTCTCAGAAATTCAGAGGACAGTCAGGCCCTTCAGAAAGGCAAAACTGCCATTACCCAGGAGCCTTTTATCTAATTAGCCCTGCAAGGGGCTTGTCCAGTCTGTTCCTTTTGTCCTGGAAGGGACAGCTGTGCCCAGGACAGGTGGCTATTCCAGCTGGAGCTTCCCTCAGTTTCCACCACCACACTCACACTTCTCCTCCTGTAGTGTCATAATGGGTCATTTTTTTTGTTGTGCACACAGCCATCAATGCAGGGATTCACTGCCTGGAGCTCCGAAGAACCAGGAGTTAAAGCAGCATCCATAAATACGAGGATTCTCCCGCCCAGTTATCCAATCTTTCTGCTGTAATAGTTAGACACGGGTTCATGTTTTACTTAACTACTGCCAGAACCTCCTGCAAAGCAGACCAGGTGCCTGGCAGGGCAGGGGTGGGCACGTGGCACCAGCACAGATTTGTGCACGGGGTTCACTGCACCATGAGGCAGTGCCAGGGCTGTGGCCAGGTGGGACATTTGTCACACTGTGCTGCATCTGTGCCAGCTGCCGTGAGCAGGGGACTGGGAAAGCACAGCAGACCCTAATGACTTGTACTCCGGGAGAAATGTGCCACCAAAACCACATCCAGGCTCCAGCACCGTTGGCTTTCAACTCTGCCCGTGCGACAGAACCTGCCTTGGCACAACCTGCCGTGGGATCCAGCCAGCAGGAAAGGTGTTCCTGAGATGAAAAGCAATGGAGTGGGCAGAGAGCTGAGCCAGAGGCTGTGGGCTTCGTGCAGCTGTTCGTGGAGCTGTAAAGATGTGGTTTAGAACAGATGTTAAGATTTCCCTGGGAGGGTGGGGAGGCCCTGGCACAGGTTGCCCAGAGAAGCTGTGGCTGCCCCTGGATCCCTGGAAGTGCTCAAGGCCAGGTTAGAGGGAGTAGCCTGGTCCAAGGATTCCTTCCAACCCAAATCATTCTACGAATCTGTGGTTCTATGATAAAGAAAAAACAAAGAACCCGAAAACTTCTCTTCCCCCTCTGTTTTCAGAGATTTTCTGCAGCTTTGAGTGCTTGTTTTCTTGGCCCTTACAACTCATCTTTCTACTAGAAAGGTGGTTGAGCTTTCAAAAGCCCCTTTATTCTAAATACACTAGCTAAGACCTCTGGAAGAGGAGAAAACATGGAGAGAAATCTCCTAGTTAAATTCTGCACCCAATTTGCATGGCCTGATCTAGTCACTGACACAGTATTTACCCCTCTGAGTTCTGATGTTGCCTTCTCTGATACCACAGAACCATAGAGTGGTTTGGGTTGGAAGGGACCTTAAAGCCCATCCAGTCCCACCCCTGCCATGGCAGGGACACCTTCCACTAGCCCAGGTTGCTCCAAGCTCATCCAACCTGGCCTTGGACACTTCCAGGGATCCAGGGGCAGCCACAGCTTCTCTGGGCAACCTGTGCCAGGGCCTCCCCACCCTCACAGCCAACAATTCCTTCCAAACATCTACCCTAAATTTCTTCTCTCTTAGTTTAAAACCATTCCCCCTTGTCCTGTTACTATTTGTCCATGTAAAAAGTCATTCTCCCTCCTTTTTTATAAGCCCCTTTAGGCACTGGAAGGTTGCAATAAGGTCTCCCTGGAGCCTTCTCTTCTCCAGGTTGAACACCTCCAGCTGCTTCAGCCTGTGCCCATAGGAGAACTGCTCCAGCCCTCTGAGCATCCACCTCATCTTTCCCTGGTATAAACACTTTTGATTGATCTGTGGAGTCATTAGCAGAGATAATGAGATGACTTCAACTTCAACAGAGTTCTGCTAAGTTTTATTATTAAAACAGTTTGTTTTAACTGTCAAAAAAATCCCAGGGATTTTCCCATCCCCTGCTCTCCAGGGGGCAGATCCCATTTCAAAAACAAACAAACAAACCTTGAAAAAGCATTTGTGTGTTGTGTTGTGTTGTGTTGTGTTGTTTTGACTAGAAAGTCTCAGGAAAACAGCCTTTAAACCCCATCACAGTTGTCACATCATCCTACTAAGCCAGTCCCGTTTGATCCTATGGTTTCCATGGCAGTTGGTGGTGGGTGTGTTCTGGCAGGCAGGATTCCCTTGGCATCCCCAGCCCTGCAGCCTCAGTTCCACTCCCTGACAGAGATGTTTCATTTTTCATCCTTTGTGACCAGGTTGAAGTGGGTTTGAATGTTTACTTTGACTCACATCTCCCAAGGCTGAGCAAAGGCAGCTGCAGTGAAGGGCCTTCAGTGTGAGTGTGGAAGAAGTTCTTCCTCCTCAAAAATTCCTGCATGGCATTTATGTGGAATCTCACACAAGCATGTCCTGGCTCAGCACTGCCATTCCCAGGCACTTGTAGCTGTGCAATCAGGTGGGTTTCAAAAAATAGTTGCTGTTCAAAAGAATTTTGACAGAGTTTTTCATCTGTCAGAGCCAATTTAGCTCCTGTTAGAAAAGGTGGATTAAAAACCCAAGAACTGCCCCATGCACTGGTGCTCAGGCACCCACATCCCTGCAGAACTGCACCCAGAACTCCTGGGTTTGGGAATTAACACCACTGACTCAGATTTGATTTGGGAAAGACAATTTGAGTTTGAAGTTAATTTCCAGAAAACAAAACCCACGCCAGAAGAGGCTCTTTTGTCACATTGAAAACGTGGTTGGATCTTGTTTTCCACTGGTTACAGTCTGCCACCATGAAAAAGGCTAAGGAGACATCCAAACATCAGCTAAAAAAACAAGTGTGATTTAGAAAACTACTCAAAGTTATGAGTTTTAAGAACTGAAAAGGAGTAATGACAGTGAATACTAAGAAAATGTGATTACTCAGCATGGAATTCTCCCAGTTGTGCTTTTCACAAGCTCTTCAAGCAGAATTTACTCTCCAGCACGAAATTGAAGAGCCAGTTAACTTCACTTTCTCAGGTTTAAAGGAAATAGCATGAAAACACTCAGTTATGCTCACAAAATGATACCACGTAATCCAAGGATTGACTGGTTCTAGAAATTAGCAGAGTCACTGCACGGATGCTTTATGGCCATGGAGAGGCTCCCACTGACAGCCACTCTCCTGAGTTGAGAAAGTTATTCCACGTGCTGGTTTTTTTAAGAAATATGAAGTAAAAAAATATATATAGAAATTTACTTCGATATATCTCTGGCCATTTAAATGTAAGACTCCTAAACAACAGTTTGTAAATGGCATTTAGAAATTAGAAATTAATTTTGTGTGCATCTTAAGAACATATTCAGGAATTATTTAAATTAAAAATGCAAACCACTGTCAACATGGTAGCATTGGAATAATGCTGTAACAACTGTAACTAAATATAGTCATCTATTGAAAGAGTAAATATACTTTGTTATACATAATAATACATATTCATATGATTTAAATACTTAGTGCTATTTTCTGCCTCAATTATTGAGAGATTGTTTGCCTGTGCCCACATCTTTGTAATGATGAAGGGTTTATAGGCTTTGATCTTTCATATCTGTAGACTGGGTAGTGGTAGGAAAAGGCAGTGATCCAAGCAGTTCTCACCCCTTCAGTCAGAAAGAGAGGAAACAGGAATAAAAGGATGACACTCAAAGGCAGATCTAGCTGAGCACCATCCTCAGATGCCCACCTAGAGCTCTGTCTGCACACACGTGTGGATCTTACAAAGTCCTGGGGGGTTCTGGCCTGTTTCTGATTAAATAAAATACCTCAGCTACTACCTTAGTGCTCATGCAAAATCCCTTCCTGGCTGGATCACCAAATGGACTGTTAGGGTCTTATCAGGTCATTTTCCCAAACTTCAGCAGGTGCTGATGGAAATGCACAGGTTCCAAACTGATATAAATTCATGCCAGGCCAGATGTGGTATCATTGCCATGGTTCAGGTGAATAACAGGGAACATTAATTCCATACAAACCATCTGTTTGAGGATTTCATTGTTTTCTTCATTGAGGAGACAGGAGAAGAAAGTTAATATATTTTGTGCTTTTTTTTTCTTCCCCTTGGCTTCCATAATCTTAAATGCTGGGAAAGTTCCATCCCCAGAGGGGGGGATATTTGCAAGTCTGATGCAAAATTTTCAAGTTTCTTTCTCGCATCAGCCATTTGAGACTGTCCTCTCCCTCTCATATTTGCCAGTAGTTTGTATCTTACCTTGAAGGGAGCATTATAGAAAGCCTAGGTCACAGCAGCACTGAGTGAAAGTGCTAATAAATCCTTCAGAATTCATTCAGATTCACTGTTTTACACCACCTGACAATTCCCCCCATCTCTGCAGGCAGAGTAATACACAGCTCCAGAGGAATATTAATGAGGCACAGAAAACCCGACACACCCAGAACAGCAAAGGTGTAACTCTCACTCACTGGCAGGGCTGGAATCAGTGGAGAGGAAAATCACAAGAAGTTGGGGTCGAGCTGATCTGCCCAAACCTGCTAAGACTGTCTGTTGTAAAGACAAAACTACCTTTTCTTATTCCCATTCTCAAAGCCTTCGACAGTATCAGAGGTTATTTCCTGACCCCGAGAGTTGAATGCACTGATGGGCTGGAAGGGAACACCTTGGGCAGTGATGACTGACAACAGCAGGACAAATAGATCCATCTCAAACATTTGAGATTAACATTTAGCCAATTGCCTAACGAGGTTCCAGTTTCATGCAAATCCTTCGCTTTCTCCAGCAAATCGGTTTATTCAGAGCAGTTCCCCTGTTTCCAGATGCAAGGAGGACTCATTGCAAAGTCACGGAATCTTGGAATCATGGGATCAGCCGGGTCGCAAAAGACCTCTGAGATCATCAAGACCACTCTCTGAGTGTTGCAAAGCACCCAAATCAGCCTCACTTCACCCAAATGCCTGGAAAAAGGGCCTGTCATTTCATTGTGGTATGTTAATTATCTGTAATTATCTCATCACCAACTCTTTAGGTTTGCTAAATAGCCTTTATATGTAGGAACAACATTAAAGTGAATCGTTTAGGTTCATTAAGTCATCATTTAAGACAATCCACCTTAAGGTGAGATTCATTGTTGGTTTTGTCCTCTTCCACTTCTCCTGCAGTGGGGCCCCAGGCTCCTGAATACCCTCCAGCTCTGAACTCACTGCTGCACACGACTTTTTGCAAAAAAATTAAAATGCAGTTCCAGCCAACTGGACCATCATTGTTTCATGCAGGTAAAAAAATATCAGTGCAAAACAAAAGGAGGAAACGTAAGACTGTGTGCTGTCTCCCATTCAAAGGAGAACTTTTGGTTTTTGGAACTTCTAGCTGAACGCTGATGAAGAATTTAGAAATAGAGTTTGTAGAGTCGGACAGTAATTTAGGTTGGAATGGAATTCTGGCAGCCATCCAGTCCAACTCCCTGCCCAAAGCAAGCCTGATGGAATGAGATGCTCAGGGAGCTGCCCAGTAGACCCTTCTCTCACCTTCAAGGATGGAGTTCCCTGGTAGGACTCTACTTTTGCTTTTCCCTTAGAGCTGTGGTGGTCAGTGGTGGCTGGGCTGTGTATTCACAGTTTTGTCGTGGAGGGCAGGAGGAAACTTCCTCACCTCCTGGGGATGGCCCAGCCCAACCCAGCACCCCCGGGAGTGACCAGAATTTAACCAAATGCAGCTCTCCTGTCCCTGCAGGTTTGGCACTGCCCACAGCCAGCGCAGGGGCAGCAGGAGTTAAATGAGCCCACCCTGAACTCCCTGCTCACACACCACTCACACAGGGGCCTTCAGCCAGTTTGGAGCTGCCCATTAGGGACAGGTGGGCTTCTGTCGGGAGAGAAAATTTCCATAAGAAAGGAGAGCACTGAGAAATGTCACTTTCCGGATTCTTTTGTGGCAGCAAGAAATATAGAACCCTTTTCCCCAAGTTCTCATTTCCCAATGCCCTTGAGGAGCATATTTTTGTGTTTGTGAATAAAGGCTTGGGAACGGATCACAACAAACCATGTGCAAGAGTTCCCTTTATGCTCAAAAAGGGATCTCCATGAGAGCCAAATGGTCACAGAGGCACACAAATCTTACCACATCCTCATTCATTTGCCAAGTTTTCCTTTCTGTCCATGAATACAGATGATTGGGGATTCATTAACTAAAAGTACTGTGCACAGTCAGTTTGGTCTTCTGCTTTCAACAAGCTGCGTAAGTGACAAAGCTTTCACAATAAAACAACTTGTAATTAAAGGGTAAGTACTAATACATTACTGAAAGAAAAAAAAAAATCTAATTACGTGTTAATAAAGTGTAGACAAGCATCTGTGGGAATCCCCATTCAGTCTAGCCAAAAATGAGAACTAACACATACAGGAAAGTGTGAGTTTATTAGCCACCTCATGAAAGCTCTTAGAAATCACTAATTCCCTGTAATTATTGTAATAGAACCAATTTTTTTAAGTATTCAGCACCCATCCAATGATAATGGAAGGCAGCAGGTGTGCCTCAAGTCATGCCTATAATTTCAGGCTAGGGACCTAAATCAAAACCCATCAGAGTTTACAGAGAAACTCCCTTTCACCTCGTCAAGATGGACAGAGCCCAGAAGTCAACTCTGTCTCCCCATGAGTGAGAATCTGAGCAAGCCTGTGGCATGGAGAGGTGGTCTGAAGCAGACTGAGAAAAGGGCACCGTCCCTCAGCTTCCCTGCAGCAAATCCTGACACTTTGGGGAGGATGTTGAATGTCTGAGCTCCAATTTTCAAATGTCTTCAAAAAAATATCGTTTCAGTGTTAGTTTTTACTTAGGTCCAGACCTCCTAAAGGGTGTCAACTCTGTAGCTCTTTTATGATCAGTGTGATACCGGTGCTTTGATTTTAAAGATCAGTTATTCTCATGTTAGACTGTTTTCCTAGAGTTGTTAGATCCAATTTCACCTTGAAAATTAATTTCATTGTATGGCTGAGGTACTGCTAGTTACATGAGTTAGTAATGAGCAGATAGTCAGTAACACTGAAAAAGAACTTTAACCACTGGATAATCCTTGCAGTAGGATAAATGCTGCAGGCAAAGCCTTAATTATTGTATTTTAATAAACATTTCCTTTCTCTTCAGCAGTTAGTTTTTCTATGCAAATGTGTCATATACTTAAGAGAACACACAGTCATTTATAAGAAGGTATATTCACATGCAAAAATATTCAAAGTAATTAAAAGAATTTATGGGATTTTTATTTCAAATTGCTGGTCAACAGGTGTAATTTGTTCTTAAAATTCTAATGGGAATGTATTTACTGTAGAGGTACCAGTTCCCAAAATAACGATAGGAATTAGCTCTTTATTTTTTAAAACAACTGCAGCAAGACAGAAATTCACCTTGTTTCTAGGATGGTCACTTCCAAAAGGTGGCCTCTGTGAGCCATTTTGGTCATTACAGGCCTCAGCTATCAGCCAGACCAGGAAAGCTTTTACTTCCTTCACAAATGGTTGGGATTCAGTCATGAGATGCATTAAAGAAAACCATTCCTCAGGTGAATAAAGGATTTCAACAACCCTGTCCTGCTGGAAGGACACTCAATCACCAGAAATGCCTTTAATACAATCGCCCACCATGGGATGAAGCTGCATTTCTGAAATGTCAGTTCATTCTGTAATGCCTGGGTGGGTAATCACAGGTACTAATTATCTCTCATTCGGAACAATTTATGCTCTCCCTTGAACATTAGGCCTCTTCACTGGATTTCTTCAATCCATTCAGTGACTGGATCCCAATTATCCATCAGGCTACCCTTTCCAAATTAGTCTGTGGGGACTGAGGCACGCAGATTCCATTAAGGTAATGGGAATCACATGGCAAAGCCTCATCAGCCCATTTTGAAAACTCAGTGCCACTGGTTAATTGGAAACTAGTTCTAAAAAGGGCAGAGTGGCAAATAGGGATTTCCCAGCAAAGTGGTTTAAAAGTCTCGTGGATTCAAAGATTTGATGGAAGTAGTTGATACTGTTTTTCTGGCTTTATTTCTGTGGGACTGTAAAGGACCCAGATATTTCTGTAATCTGTTGTTATGTAAATTGTTACAAGGGCCTCTTACAGAAAAAACATCCCTCCCCTTAACCACCTCAGTGCAGAGAAACATCCCCCCAAAGCCAGGTGGGCACACCAGGA